TAAGTACAATTCTATACATGATACACTTAGATAAATATTTCTGTACTTACACTTTTACAACACCATCAACTTAAAGGACATAAAATATATTCAAGACTGAACAAAGAAGCAAGAGAACTGTGAATAAAAAGACGACACGTTTCATTTGATGCAACATGGCACAGAAAGTATTGTACATTTTAGAACACAAAAGCCACTACCAGTTGTAGGCCTGAACTTGACAGCTAGCTCCTACGAGAGGGCTAGAGATACCCAACATCCAGTTTCTCCACAGTTTGTCTTGCTACAGCCTTATGTCCACTTGTCAGACTCACTCGCTTCTGCAGGTTAAGAGTTCACAAGACAGGTCTTCTCAATCTGGTAAGTAAGTCCTAAGGATGAATGACTTACTGATCTCTATAAAGGCTTCAGCCTTACTGAAGGCACTCAAGAGCCCTGGAATGGCATCGGGGCACGTGGTACCAGGTACTGAACCAAGAGTACCACTGACTATTTAGGTGTGCCATCATGAAAGCAAGGTTAAGGAGCTATCCTTGGCAAATATAAACCTGCCACTTTAACAGACTTGCAGAGCTTCATAGGTACCAGCAATACTTCAACTCACTTGAGTAAGACAACACAGACCTCTGCAGAAACATGAGGTGTTTGTTTCTTAAACAGTCATTGTAACAAACGCAGAATGAAACATTTTAATGGGCTAGAGTTAATACTCTATAAAAAGTGTATGTTCATCATGAATTCAAATTGTAAACTGGTAATAAATAATACAGTATCTCTGAGCACATTGTGAAACACACATAATAAAATTTAATTTTCAGAAAAGCTTTCAACCCTTTTGTTCAAAATCACATTTAACCAATCCTTTATAAACAACTGCAGCCAGTCTGCCTGCCAGAAAATTCTGATTTATGAAGCCCTTCTGCCTAGTTGCAGAACACTCGTTTGTATTAACTTCCTTTTTTTGTTTGTTTTTTTAAGGCAGATTAAGTAAGAGCTGAATTCACAAAAATTGTTAGTGTAGCAACTACCTTAAATTATAATTTACTGCAATGGTTGTAATTTGTTTTCATTTGAGTTTATTTAGTAATCATATAAATATGCTAATATACACTAAAGTAAGCTGCTGTGAAGACTGCAAGTACCACAGTCAGAGCAGTAGCTAGACCTAGATTTGAAATGCACATATTTCTTTCTGGCTAAGAAAAGGTAGGTTTCCTCTGGTCACAGAAAAGGTCTCCATGGACCTCTCTGTAACTAGTCATTGCAACCTGTCCGTTAATATGAACCTGGCTAAATGTTGAGTTCAATGGGAATTAGCAGCAGCACACTCCATCATTTCTCCAAGGTTGTTAATTTTGAACTATATTATTGAGAGCAGTGTGGCAGAGCTATCTTGGTATACCAGTATTTCAAGAAATACAGGCTTATAGATAGTAATAAGATACCTGAGTGAGCAGAAAAGCCTTTTCTGTAACACACCCTTTGTGCACAGAGATTCTCCCAGCTGATCTCATGAGCTCCCTAGGCAGAAGGTATGAGAGCACACTGAGCTTCCTCCCTTCTCACATCCTGTGTAGCGAGAGGTGAGAGTAATGATGTCTACCAGCTACTGTTCACAATGGCCTCAGTGATCCTCTTGGCAGCTCATGTGGAAGATACAATTTCTCAGCATCATATTCCTCTGTACTGCCCATGCCGGGAGGCCATGTGGCCTCTAGACATCCTGGGCAGAGCTGTGAAACAAGGCGATTCACCCAATCTGTCCCAGGACAGCCTTTCACAGTGGGAACAGTATGTGAGTGTTGGGGGGAACCTCAAGAAATCCAGCTGCTTTCAGCTGGGCTTTATAAAAAGGATGGTGTGTGTATATGTTATTTACCAATAGTGGGAAATGTCATCTGATGAATAGGAATCTCCTTCCAAAAGCCTATTCCTATGTACTGTCATTAAAAAAGCTTCATAAGGTCATTCTCTGTATTAATCCATTCCAGAAGGCATATACAGCACAAGTAAGAAAACACCTTTATACTAACAATTTGTTAAAGACTACCTCAAAACATTAAAGATACTGATATCTGAATACATTCCTAATCTTTCATAAGCAGGAGGATTTTAATGCTTTAGAAAACTAGGAATATTGCAGAGAGGAAGACTAAAAAAGACAGGTGTCAAAAAGAAGTTGGAAAGAAAGCACCGTATGAAAATCATACTTTTTATGTCCATTTAACAAGCTAATTAAATGTTTCGTGATGTTATATTGAAGTTTACGTAAGCTACCTAGGATAAAATCCTGGCCCATCTGAAGTCAATACTAAAAGGATTTTACCTGCAATTCTGACTATCTTTGAGAAGATATTGAAACAAAAGGTACACACTGAGGCTTCAGTGAAAGGCGTTAATCAAAAAAAGAAGAGGAAGCAAAGAACGTGTTGTTCTTTGTTTTTTAAGCACATGCCATGTAAGCTAATCTACATGGCAATCTCTCTGGTCTATGAAATGCTGAATGCAATACTGTAAGTAATTTTTAGCTTTATTTCTATTCATTTATCATCTAGCAGGATTCTTTTGTTGCTGTAAATCACTTTCAAAATTGTATCATTACCTTTTACACTGTTGCTTTATGAAAGTGCAAACCCAAGATTTTAGCAAACAGTGCTGTGTTTGTCATGGGTGCAAAAGGATATAAAAATAGCTCGATTGATATATGATAATATCCTTAGGCCACAGTGAAAAAAAACATAACACACTATTCCTTTTGTTACAGGAATAGTATCTGTGCGATACACTCATCCAATCAAGGATTTCAAAATCACATCCTTAAAGTATCCAAAGCACTTTCAATGGATTGATAGCTGTGGTCTTCAGTGAGCTGCCCTGACAGTTAGAAAAGAGACACAAAACTTAATCTAATCTTAGTTGCTCATATTTCATCACACTATTCTGCTTGCTAACTGAGAAGTACTTCTAAAAACTGCCATGATGTTCCTCATGGAAGAAAAAGCAAGTGAAGTTTATAAAACAGTACTCTAAGAACTTTGGACAAATATACTGCTCGCATGAACATGCTTAACAACCATTTCGTGATTCAGTTGTGTAGTTTAAACTCTTAATCATTTTAGCTGCATATAAACCAGAGAAGTAACAAGTTAAATGATAGCACCTTGCGTGAAATTTGTTCTTAAAAATACAAAGATTACACCTTCTAAAATCGTAAGAAATACAACTATTCTATCTCAAGTCCACTATGCACCTATCATTTAACTAATTTACATGTAGTGAAGACATGCATAAATACCACAAATGTAAGGCACAAAATGGAATTTGAAAGTTAGTGATGTAGTAAATCCTTGCTTTTTCATCGTTACCTCAAACATCAGAAAAAGGTGTATCTACAATTTTCAAAAAAGCAGTATTATCATAGAATCGTTGAAGCTGAAAATGGAAACTGCCTATTCGAGTATGCAGTTCAAACTCTTGCCAAAGGAAGACTACTTTCCACTATTGCATCACATCTAACTTAAACCCTTCCAAGAAACTGTATGCATTGATAAGCACTACTGTGTCATTCCATAACCCAGCTTATTGCTCACTGGCAGGACCTTTCTCCTGATATTCATTGGCTATTTACCTTATTTCAAATTTATATAACCTTCATACTTAGAAAGCCTCTTCCTTTATGTATATGTCATGTAACAAAAAATTATGCATTCTCAAGACTCAATCTTTCTGACTTCTTTCTCACTTCAACTAATTTTGTTACTGTTCTCTGATTTTTCAAAAGAATGATTCAATTCCTCATCCCTGATGTACCCAGAATGTAAGATCATGCTCCAGAAATGACCTTGGCAATCAGGAGTGTTCTGATTAACAGGTGCCTGATGCAGCTCTTCTGCATATATACTCTTCTTCTGAAATTAGTGTTGCCAGAAGCAACTTTGTTGCCTACATTATCAAGGCTTCTTATTACATGATTACATTTCAATTCTCCCTCTCTCATTAAGTATCCAAGTTTCCTCAAATGCATTACATTTTCTCTGAATCTCTCAGGCTGCGTCTAATTCGTTGAACCTCTCCCACTCAGGTGTCATATAGTGCAATATCATCTGTAACTTTTATTAATATACTGTAGATCCCTCTTGCAGATTATTGAAGGCATTAAATAGAATTAGGTCAACATGGTATAAACAATTAACGGGGAGGGAGCAATTAAAATTGCACAATTGGATGATGTAAAGCACAATTTATATTTTAAGACACTATTTCAAATATATTTTATCCCACTTAGCCATTTATAAGAAGTTAAATATCACTCTATAGCTACAGTTTCTAAATTCAAGACTATAATTTTTCTGCATATGTAATTAAACGTAGAGCAGGAAACACGCTGACAATCAGTCTTCCTCTGCAAACGAGTCCCATTCCAGCCACTGATCAGAGAAAGGTAGGCACATCAAATCTGTTCCTCAGCATGAACTTTTAACCAGTTAATATTCTATCTGTTATTCTACATATCTTTACTATTACAAATGAAAATAGACAGATTTAAATTTGCACTGACGATCAAGAATTCATTTCCTTTGAAAAGTCATTCTAGAATTCTATAGTATGCTCCTGTAATCGAAAGAATGTTGACCAACATGCTAACAGTATTTAAAACTGGAAAGTTATTTAATATAAAGCTTAAATAACATTTAAGCCACTCATTTTGTGAAAAACATCATTACCTAATTGATGCTCTGTTTTCCAGAAGACTGACTGTCAGTACAACTTATCAACTCTCCTTCTGTTCTTGATGATGGCTACAGGTCATAACAGAACTTTCAGAACAAAAAGCACAGCAGCCCACCATTCCAATTCTTAAAGCTATCTGTCAACCTATTGAAAATAAGAAAATAATTTGACTGAAGAAATGAACAATTAAAAATCAAAGTGAAACTAAGGATGAAAATGTAAGTCTGAAGATGTATTAATTGTAAAAATAATACAGTCCATGCTATTTGATGCACAGTTGTTTATTCTTGCTCCATGTTTTAAAACTTGGACTCAGAAAAATCACAGGAAGTTTTGGTTTTTTACCCTCTTTTTTTTTTTTTCCCCATTAAAAGCACCATAGTTACACGGCTTGATTCAATCGTCCTTTTCCACAATCACTTCTCCATGAAGCACCCGTCTTCTCTGCCGCAGCATGTGGAAGTAGAGCTGTGGAAATACTTGATCAAAGCATAAAAGAAAATCGATTACAAAAATCACAGATCAAATAACAGAAAAATACAATTTTGCAGAATGGTGAACCGAGGAAAAAATAAGGCACGCTGCAGAATATATACCCTATGTTCAAGGAACTTCCCTCCAACACTTTCTTTGTATAAACAGGACTTAATCACTTCCCGGCAGTGCCTGAAGTCTTTAGGATTTATTCCTGAAGCATTAAGTTACATAAACAATTGTAAAACTGTAAGTTATGATAGCTTAGGACATCTTTTACTCGTATAAATCTCTCCCGTTGGCCTTCATGAGTTCTTGTGACGAAAAAAATCAGTGTGTGTGCATACTGTGAAAGTCTATGTTCAAGGTCAACTTCTTAAATGCATACCTTTTCTGGATGCAGATCACAGACCCTTGAAACTTCAATCTTCCTGCTTCTTAACACCTCTCCCTAATCTCTCATCTCCTTTCTAGCTTTGTTGTCCAGATTATCTAAAATATTCTGTTTTCCTAGTTTGGTCTAACCCTGTTCATGGTGCTGTATCTGAATCAGGTTGCTTTCTCCTTGTCTGTACTGCTTAGGTACCAGTGAAAATAACATTGGAAGTGAAAGGCATAGTCTCTCTAATTTTAGCTCTGGTTATAGCAAATGGATCTGTGACTTCTGGTGTCCAGAAGTACAAGGACAATCTGATTAAAACAGGGACTGAAATATGTTCAAAGAGGTTTGGGGGTGCATTTCTGTATAAATGAAATCCTGGAGAATAGTGCTTCAGGTTTTTCCCAAGCATTCTTAAATGGTGATTTTCAGAGGTAACATGTAAATGGATATTAATAGCAATAAAAACAAGGCAAATCTGGCACAACTTGCAGGATAATTTTTAAGCCATTGCTTCAAAGTGGCAGAAGCACTAGAAATTCTCAACAACACAGCTATGTGCATTTCTGTGTATATGCAAACACGTTTTTTACTTTGTACAAGTCTTAGGAATGTTTTTGGTATTTTCACTGAAACTTTTAAGACAGCTTATGTTCTGAGGTAGGTAACAGGACAGAAAATCTCAGTCTAACCAATTAAAGCACAGCGAAGCTTGGAACAACAGAAAGCAGACTTTTATAGTAGATAGTGTTCAGCAACTTTAACTACAGGAACTGTTTCCAGCATTGACAATGATTATTACGTTGTTAGCGTTACTGTAGTTAAGTAATACTTACATGGCACATAGGAGAACATGACAATAATAAGGAAGTAATAGTAGTCAAAAGAGACATTGTATTTGTTGGGAAGTCTCAGTGAAAACATTCCCGTTTTCTTCACATAGGGTAAAGCAGCATATATGGTTAGCAGTTCACCTGCAACTCCAGCAGGATACAAAATGATAAAAAAGTTGTATCTGCATTAAAAACAAAACAAAACCAAACCAACTTGTGAGAAACATCCCATGAATTTAAAATTTATTCTAGCTATTATTAGTGGCACAGCAATGTATTACAGTAGATCCTGCACAAAAATCAAGGAGCACATCCTGACTTGGCACAGAATACCAGTTTCAGTTACTCTGGATTGCATCGCTTAGGTTTACAGAGAATGCATTCGTCAGTCCTTTTATTTAAAAAACAGTGAAGTATCAGAATGTTTGTATGTCTTTCTAATACTAAAGAGTAAAAAGTCCACGAATTTGTAGTCTGCAATAATGTCTTTTTAAAAGATTTTCTAGTCTTGCTCCTGTTGTCACCAACAGGATTCAGAGCAGGACTGGACCCCAAATTCAGATGATCCTACATATCTTTGTCACAGTACTGCACACTGGGCCAATTCTATGTACTGTAAACTCTTTTAAGATAATGAAAATGTTGAGAAACATTAGAAGCCTGTTTTACCCTCTGCCACATGGGAAATCCAAATAATCCTACATTTACCACTAATGGAAATAAAAAATAAAAGAAAATGAGAGTGCCAAAAACTTATCAGATCCATTTGTAAAATGGATTCAAATAAAAGTTGAAGGCTTTCCGTATGAAGACAACATAGTTTGAATGCCATCTGCCACACAGGTGGTGATAAAATGAAAAACGTTACCAATACAGTTTATGCTGTCCTTAGCCATAGTGTACCATGGAGATGCAGTTTCTCCTAAGGAACGGCTCTCAAATTCATGCAGGGAACAGCAAGGAGAGCTGTCACACAGAGAGAAAGGTACAGTGTGTACTTCAGACAGCAGCAACCAAAGATGAAACCCTCCTAGGAGCAAATGGGCTTAGAGGACTCACAGGTCAGAGAACAGATAAGAGAGGTATAAAACAGAACTGGTGCCATGACCTACACAGTTTGTCTTTATGCAGTAAAAAAAACCCCAAACTAACCCCAAAGTGAAAATTCCAAACAAAAATTTAGAGCATACTTATTCCATTAACAACAGACATCTTTTTACAATTATAAGCTAAAGATCAGAAATTTCCATCTCCCTTGGAGCACTGAAATTTATGCCTAGTTGTGCTGTTTGATTATCTGTAAATCCTGATGGGGTATTTTGGACTCTATGAAAAGATCATACCCTTTCAAATGTTTTGTATATTTCACCACAGTTCTCTACTGGGAGAATGTCAGTTTTCCCTATTGTCCATTATAAGGAAGCAAAAAATCTGTCACTCAAAGACACATCGACTTGATGGCAAACCGTGTATCTGCCAATGTAGTACTTTCTGAATGCATTTCTCTTTCTGAAGCCTTCATAAAAAAATATTAATGAAACCACATCTGATTATTTTTAAGTTTACCATTTAGTGCTTAAACATAACCAAGCCTGCCACCTTAGGTATTAGCAAAAAGACAATGTATTATAGGAATGGACATAAATACCAGCCATATCAAAGAAGTGCATTAGAAGCACCAGAACTGCATTTCTATAAAATAAAAATAAAGGAAAATAAACAAACACACGTTTTTAAATAAGAATCACTTGTGCTGAATGTAGGTTAGAGAATTTCCTTGTAACTGTCTGTCTTACAGATATTTTTCAAATAAAGACTACAGGTAACACCACTCTTCCAGTTAAGTCTCCTGATAAACATGCAGTCTCTGTAATATGTGTGATCTAGTGACCAACCATAAGTATGCTTCAACATAAAAGCAGTTTTGATATGGAACATACTTTCAATGTGGGCTAAACTAAGTCAGTATTTAGCTTCAGTACATGGATACAACAAAAGCTCTGATAAAGAACTTCTCATACAGTAATAATACGCATACATATTGAGTGACAACAACTCCCACCTTTTCAAAGATCTGAAATCCACAAAGACTAGCACAGATGTTTAATTTTGGGTATTGTATTCAAAAGCATCTTAAGGAGTCATAATGTAAGTTAAAAGATGGCTCCAAAGATGGGGGGGTGGAGGGGGGAATGTAAATGAAAACAGTGTTCAAACCATGAGACACAGAAAGCGAAGAACAAATCATACCCCAAAATCCCAGCTAAAATATTTTTAACATTTTAAACCAAGTAACAATGATCCCAAGTACAGAAAGCAACCAACTTGCACTCTGCCAACATATAACGAAAGCTCAAACATCTGCTCTGCTGTGTGTTAGCTCAGCATGCGTGAAACTAACATGCACAGAACTATGAGAAACTGAAGTGCAAGACATCTCCACCTGGCCCATTTAATGAAGTATGGCAAATGGTTGAGCAGGTTGAATGTGTAGAAGGAATATCGAGTAATCTCTGTCACAGTCCATACGACCAGAAAAAGAATAACGCTCTCCTCATTCTGGATCTGCAGAAGTATAAAGAATCAATAATTCCTTCATCCTTAAGCTTCGTTCTCTATGCAAACTGTAACAGACTTTTGTTTAAGATACATGGAACAGAACTAATATCTTGTAAAGAAAGAAAATTTTGGCATAAAAGTGATATGCTGAAGCCATTATCATGTACAGTTCTTTATCATATATATTTACTAATATACAGACATTTTGCAAACTGAGCAATCTTTATCCATTATGCAAATATCAAAATATAAACTCCATAATTAAGCATACTGCTCGTCTTTATTTTCTACCTTTATTTTCACTATGCTATCTGTCTCTCTCTTTTTATTTGTGAGTTGATTTACTTGATTATTTTTGTACTCCCCAAAACCGCAAGAAGAAAACAATGCTACAGAAGATATGCTCCTTTCACAGTCAGTTTTTACCCATTCTGCCTTTCGCTACTCTGTCTCCTGGACTTTCTCTTAATTTTTATCTTTCTTCTCACTCACCACATAATGCATGTCTCCATAAAACTTTAGACAAAAGGAATTGCTTAGTGTAATCTCCTAACTGGAACATGGCCACAGGAGATCGAATTTAGCAGACTTCAGGGAGTTTTAAGATAGTTAAGGAGCTGGAATGCACAGATGGATCACTACATGAAGAGTAGTTGGTACATCAAGAGCCTTGGGTAAACTCACTCAACAATCCCATTTAAGATTATGTTCTGAGTCATTAAACTGCCTCATCGGTAGGTAGCGCATCTCTGCTGTTTCAAAACATTGGTTCTTTTTCACTCTAAGTGAACAAATAAACAGAAGTCCCCAAATATGAAGGTGACACATGGGGATCTATTACAAACACTACCTTCTGAGAAGAAGAATTACACGCAAGTAATTTTCTTTTCTTTAAAAGGGGAGGAATTTTGTAATACACTTCCATGCCTGAAGGCTGAAAAGCTCCAGGAATGTTTGTGAAATAAAATAAAGTAATACAAGTTTTGTTAAGATTTCAAAAAAGGGAAATTATTTTTTAAATAAAATGCAACATGGTGACAAAGATGCATAAAATACATCTCAAAGATTCTGAAAATCCACAACTCTGTCAAAAGTCAAGAAGAATATAAGTGCTCATCAGCTCATCAAATTGCACCCTCAATGTGTCAGTCAAAGAAGGTACGCTTTTAGTGAAAGCATCTTGCCAACATCACAAAAGAGAAGGGGATATAAAAATACCACTGAACTCACAAATAGCAACACTGAGGTGCAAAGATGTCCAAACAAAAAAGCGAAGGCAAAGACAGAATTAGGCTGTTCTTAACGTCATGCGATTAGAGACAAACATTGATAACCCAAACTTGGATTCATGTCACAGTGCTAAATCCAAGCAGAAGAGCTTTAAATAAGTATGGAGTGAGTTCCTATCTGTTGCCTTGCAAAGCTCCAGTCAAGTACAGAGATCTGGGTCTGGCTATTATCACTAACATGCCTCTCAGCACCTAAAGTGACTCTGAACATTCATGCCTGCTAAGCAATAACAGCGTGAAATACAATCAGACATACATTCAGATGTATTTTTTCTTGGACACAGATTGACCTACTGTACTGAAGATAAAAGGAAACAAAAGAAATTACTGGATATGCTGCTAAAGATTTAATCCACTGTGGATAATAACAAAATGGTAAAATGCAGTGCTATATTTCAGCATCCATGTAAGCATTCAATATAAAAAATTTGTTAATCTTTGAGATTTTCCCTTAAGAAAAAAAATGAAAACACTTAGCTTACCAAAACACCCACAAAAACCAACCAACCAAACAAAAAAAGCCTATTCCTTGTTAAGAAAAGCGACAGTAAAGGAAAAGATGAAGTGCAGAAAACAAGTCTTCTGTGAACTGAAACAAAGGGATTTGACAACCAAGGCAGATGCGATGATATCCCATCAGCAGAAAGGCATATGCCATCTGCTGGTGAGACAGTTTAATGGCTCAGCTTTTTAAGTTTAAAAGAAATTCAGGAGCACACACTGAAAATCCATCACTTAGTTCTTACATGCCTTTCACAGAAAGCAGACCTCAGAAACTGAACTGATGTCCTATCTACTAGCTATAAGCAGTCTGTTTGTTTCATTCTGCTAATGAATCACTAGACTTACAATAATCACCTACAGCCAGGCAAATAAACTCATCATTTATACAGGACCTTCAGTGTCACTGTGGCATGCTGGATGACTTGATACATTCTTAATGAAAAAAAATGCAGTATGCATGTCATCAAATGTTAACACAACCATAACATTAAAATCTTGAGAAGGTTCCTAAAATAAATTGCAAAATCACAATCATGTTTATCCAGATAAATTTAATTTAAGGCATATTTTTATTTAGATTAATTCAGTAAGTGTTAATTAAAGTTTTTGAAAGGGAACTGGTTACAATGTGGTAGATTTGCTCGTAAATAATAGCAGTAGTCATTGATCTCACTTAGGCAGCACTGTCTTTGGCACCATGCTGACTCACAGCGAAGAGCCAGACTCGGTCTCCTGTGTAGAAGCACATAAAATCCTGTAACCCCAACTTCCAAAATCACACTCAAGTATGTAAGTATTCTCTGTAGGAATGTCATCAACTTTTAAATTGGCCTTTCTTATGAAAGGAGAACTGTATAATAATATCTTCTCCTTAAAAACAATCAAAACACAACTTGCTCATGCACATACCTGTTTTATACTGTGTGCAATGAACCACACCATGAAGATTCTTGAACTTACTTGGACCCCAGTCACAAGCACAGACGTGCGAACTATTCCTTAAAAAGAGAAACATGTTATCTCTGTTCCACAATTCACATTTTAAGTAGTTACAGGAGAAACTAAAACAAAGAACTCACCAACTGCACAGTGGACTACCTGTAAATAAAAATAAGTTAGAGGTTACTGATGTACAGTATGTCACAATCTACACTATAAACATGGCCTTTTGATATTAATATAAACCTAGGCTTAATTCTGAAGAACTGTTTTTTATTGTTTTCAACTAACAGTCTTTAAAAGAAATACACATCAGAGCCCTGGCAACCAATGCTGTGATGGGCTCAGTATCTGATCTGTGCAAACACATAAAAGAGATCTATTTTCCTAATTAACTGCATATATTACGTATTTTAACACTTACAAAGCATTTACTGTTTCAACTATTAAGTTTTCCTTCCATTATCTTATTCAAAGAATAATTTTCCAAGATAATGTGGAGGGAGTACATATCAAGGGATGCTAAACGCACAGCAATTTTAAAATGTTCTGTATTCATTACAGATTAATTACATTATTATTATTTTGCCAATGACAGCAGTGAAGCTTCAGATTTATTGTATTTTCTGGTCAGTAATGCTTAGCAAATAGAGCACTTTTCATTATTTTGACAGATTTGAGTAGAATTACTTGTTGTGAAAGTTTAATAGCACAACAGCCTATATAGAGATGGCCACATGATTTTAACAGTTGCTTGAAGTATTATGCTTGAACATACTACTATGCTGTAGGCAGACAGAGGAAAAAAAGTTAAAATGCAGATAGGCACTCTTTGTTGTGCCTGGGAAAGAAATGTAAGTGCTCAATACACCCAACAGTTTAATTCCACAGATGTACCATAAACTGGGACCACTAAAGCATTGTTAGCAAAAGTCATATTATTTAAAGAATACTTGGCACAGCTTACACAGACCCTGTTGGAACTGATTATATATGAATAAAGCCTGGAAATAAGCAGAAGCAGGAAAGGCACAGAAGGTTAATGAGTCCAGTATAAGAAATGGAGATGGACACGAGCTCTCTACTATACTAGGAGGTTAATCTGCTGACTCAAATGCCTTCAGAGATTTTGCCTCTCAAATCAATTCCCAGGCAGTATTTGCTTTAAAGAAATACTGTAATTCAGTTTGAAAAAATGTGCCCATTTGTTTCCATTCATCACCTTGCCCTCAAAGAAACCTTCAGTAAATAATAACGGACTTTAAATACTAATGTAATATTTTGATATTAAATCCAGGTTAATAATGTGTTTTGCCTATGATATGTAGTATCCAGTAAAGCAAACTTATGTTTAAAATTTACCTCAAGCAAAGCAAGTGTCTGGAAAAATTTAAGCGTCTTTTGAACGCTTCTGAATAAGCCTCTATGTGTTCCTTTCTGTATATAAAACCGCACCATGGCAATACCTAATACCAGCCACCTACAAAAGAAAGAGAATGGATACATTTCAAATTAAATTCTAAAAATATCCATCCACCATAAATAATTTAGTAGAATATTTTCTTCACAGAATATCTTTGGTTCTTCACTTGTCGGTGTTCTTAGATTATTAAAAATATCTTTAGACATAAATATTACATAATCTTACGTAAACATTACACTCTTTTATCTCTTTAATTGGAGAAGGATAGAGAATGGCTTGTTTACCTTCAGAGGATTGTCATGAAATGATGATGAGGACCCCCAAAATCCATGGGTCCATCAGAGTTTTCACTAGCAGTGACTACATATTTTTACAATTAAATCCTCATGCATCTTTAATGTGAACTGCTGTTATTGGAAAACACATGATGAACTTGGCACTGAAGCCACTGTTACGGGTCACAGATACGTATAAAGAAAGGACTGGAAACTACACAGATCATTTTTACATTTCTCATGACATCTCAACTCACAATTGTTAGAACTGACTAGTGATCTGAATGCTTCTATTTGTGATTGTCCAACTAAAGTTACCATTATGATTCAGTTTTCAAAAGTGTTGAGAACTTATCTTTAAAAACCAGACTCCAAAGTGCTGAAGGATGAGTGCTCTACGCTCCTGGCTTTCAGAGGCACGTATATTTAACTAGCACATTTGATGGTTTTGCTCATTTTTTTATTTTTTGAAGTAAACCGATCACCATTTGATAACCCTTCCAATGTGAAAGAAAGAAAGTAACAGTATATTTTAATCAATCTGGAATTTGATAGAAAACTTACATTGAGATCTCAGATGGAAAACGAGACTAGAAAAAAAAAACAACCTTCTAAACTGTGGTGGGTTGATCCCCACCACCCAGCCCAGAACAATAACCCAAGGCATGTGCAATTCCTTCCACATAATTAATCCATGTTTCTATAATTAAGATTTTCTAATTGGTGCACTATATATTCCATCCTTAATGCAGAGCTATAGCACATTCTCACAAACATCATGCTAGCTAGATGCCTTGAAACTTCAGGTTTCAATGCACAAAGACTAAGGAAGTACAAAAAATTCTTTAATATAGAGTTATAGGAATAACTCCAGAGCTATGGATGGCTATTTTAAAAGTTAAAATAGAAATACAAAGATTACCATAACTCTAGCTTAAATTCTTGTCTGATGATATTGAGAGCAATTACTCAGCGCTTTCACTCTACATAAAGCCATAGCAAGCATGCTGAAAAATACTCAGAGTCAGATTCAGAGAGCGTATAAACATTCAGAGAAATATTTATATAAACATTTGGATAAATATTTAACACATCATCTGTTCTTACACCCTTCCCTAAGCATTACGTATTGGCTAGTATCAATAATAGGGTACAAGGAAATACTGATCTTTGGTCAGACCTACTATGCAGTAATGGCATGAGAGTCGCATGGACCGTGACAGCCCTCTGTTCACCTCGGATGGCATGTGCTTCAGTATCAGCCCCTTAATGCTTACACACTGTGGCCTCTGCTATGCTGTCACTTGGCACAGCCCATTCCAGCACTTCATGACAGCACTTTAAACCCACATAGAGTTAGTCAGGCTTCCCCACACAGAAGGAACCATTCCCCACCTTGATCCCTTCTACTTTAAGCCCATTAATCCAATCTGCCAGAGCTCCAAAATTTGCCCCTACAAGTGTTACTTAGATTTTATAACAGATTTTAAATCTGAGTGCATTAATAGGAGGCTGCATCCCACCACTGTGGAAAAGAGAAATTATTGGAATACCAGTGTTAGTTCTTCACAGTAAAGCTGCCCTGTTTTCTAGTGAAGTGTTTGACAAGAGGAGGGTGACAGTGAGTTTACACCCAGTTGGCAGTACAAATGGTGTTAGCAACAGGTCTGTCCCAGCCCTAGCCCAGGAAGTCATAATACACCTAATTTAACAAGGCATTTTCTACACCTCATTCTGTAGCAAAAGAGTAGCAAACAGAAGTCATCTTGGACTACACTCAGAAGCAAAGACTGCAAATAGATCTTTCTTAAATAAAGTTTTATTTGGACATGAATTTCTGTAAATTGATTTATTTAGTTGTCAGTGCCTTTGGATCTAAGTAAAGCTCTTGTACACAGTATTACAAATCACTGGGAAATGGAAAACACCTTCCGTAATAAAGGTAGCATTTCCAGTTGGGACTTTCAGTAAGATTAGGCACTGATCTGTCACTGGGTACTAATCTGTCCTTTATGTCCCTTAAACCTTTGTTAGAAAGAAAGATAAGCCACAATTTTTATTAGATTGTTAACATGCAGTAGTATATTAGTTTGTTAAAATTCTAGAAACACTTTGCCATATTATACTCTCTGGACAAATACACTGTGCTTGTTACGTATTTATCCCACGCAGTGCCCCTGGCAAATATTGCTCTATTTCAAACGTTTATTTTTCTCCTAAATTGCATCCATAAAAGATTATAAGAATTTGTTTATATATCTTATTTCTCTGTTTCCACATAAAATATGCAACTGTGCATGTCTTAATCCCTTTTGATATTACTGGAAGGCGGGAGAGACGAAGAAGGAGATTCTGAACGAGCACCTAAGGTCAAAACAAATATGGTTCAATAATCTTCTACAGATATATAAAAGTCAGTGGCAAGAGTCAGCGTTCATTAGCAAATTCACACATGGAGCACGAGGCTGGGAATTCAATGAGGTAACATTAACCTGCCAGCTAGAAAAAAAAGAATTACATTGAGTAAAAACACTTTGCAAAAGTCAGGCGCTGCTGCAGTGTATGAACAGAGGAGTATATGTTCAAGACTCACAGATGCTAGTGAGCACAGAGCCATCACGATCGTATTCCTGGCTTTCTGCATTGATGCTTGAGCTCCTGCTTCAACTGCAGCGTATCAGTTTTGCTCTATGGGCTTCAAAGGGCAGAGTTCACCCACTGGTAACTAAGGTAAAACTGTTCTTGTGATGAATGTCAGCTTACAAGTTATAAAATTGTTTGTTCTTAGTTTTCTTCTACGCGTGTGGAAATTAGCAACTTGGGGTTTTTTCTCCCTCAAGAGTAAGTGAACAGGACAATTTTTCAAGTGAAATATGTGCTTCAATACTAACAGCATAAATCTGAGCGCTCTTAAAATTCAGAACCTGCCTTCCCCACAGCAGGGCACGGCCGCAGAGAGCACTGGCGAGCCCCGGGGCTGTACAGTTCTCCC